TGGTGGTGGTGGTGATGGTGGTGGTGATGGTGGTGGTGATGGTGGTGGTGGTGATGGTGGTGGTGATGGTGGTGATGGTGATGGTGGTGTTGATGGTGGTGGTGATGGTGTGGTGGTGGTGATGATGGTGATGGTGGTGGTGATGGTGGTGGTGATGGTGGTGATGATGGTGGTGATGATGGTGAGGATGATGGTCGTGGTGATGGTGGTGTGATGGGTGGTGAGGATGGTGATGGTGGTGGTGATGGTAGTGATGGTGGTGATGGTGGTGGTGATGGTGGTGGTGATGATGGTGATGGGGTGGTGATGGGGTGATGGGGTGATGTGGTGGTGATGATGGTGGTGGTGATGGTGGTGGTGATGGTGGTGGTGGTGATATGATGGTGATGGTGATGATGGTGATGTGGGTGATGGTGGTGGTGATGGTGGGTGGTGGTGATGTGGTGGTGGTGATGGTGGTGGAATGGTGATTGATGGTGGTGGGTGGTGATGGTGGTGGTGGTGGGGATGGTGGTGGTGATGGTGATGATGGTGGTGTGATGGTGGTGATGGTGATGATGGTGGTGGTGATGGTGGTGGTGGTGATGGTGGTGGTGATGGTGATGATGGTGGTGGTAGTGATGGTGGTGGGTGGTGATGATGATGGTGGTGATGATGATAGTAATGGTGGTGATGGTGGTGGTGATGGTGGTGGTGGTGGTGATGGTGGTGGTGGTGATGGTGGTGATGGTGGTGGTGGTGATGGTGGTGGTGATGATGATGGTGGTGGTGATGGTGGTGGTGATGGTGGTGGTGATGGTGGTGGTGATGATGGTGGTGGTGATGGTGGTGATGGTGGTGGTGGTGATGGTGGTGGTGGTGATGATGGTGATGATGGTGGTGATGGTGATGGTGGTGATGATGGTGATGGTGGTGGTGATGGTGGTGGTGATGGTGATGGTGGTGGTGATGGTGGTGGTGATGGTAGTGATGGTGGTGATGATGGTGGTGATGGTGGTGGTGATGGTGATGGTAGTGATGGTGATGATGTGATAATGGTGGTGGTGATGGTGGTGGTGATGGTGGTGGTGGTGATGATGGTGGTGGTGATGATGATGGTGGTGGTGGTGATGGTGGTGGTGGTGATGATGATGGTGGTGATGATGATAGTAATGGTGGTGATAAAGTGGTAGCGATGGTGGTGGTGATGATGGTGGTGGTGATGATGGTGGTGGTGATGGTGGTGGTGGTGATGATGGTGGTGATGGTGGTGATGGTGGTGATGGTGGTGGTGGTGATGGTGGTGGTGATGATGATGGTGGTGGTGATGGTGGTGATGGTGGTGGTGGTGATGATGGGGGTGACGGTGGTGGTGATGATGGTGGTGATGGTGGTGGTGGTGATGGTGGTGGTGATGATGGTGATGGTGGGTGGTGATGGTGGTGATGATGGTGGTGATGATGGTGATGGTGGTGATGATGGTGGTGGTGATGGTGGTGGTGGTGGTGATGGTGGTGGTGGTGGTGCTGATGGTGATGGTGGTGGTGATGGTGATGGTGGTGATGATGGTGGTGATGGTGGTGGTGATGGTGGTGGTGGTGATGGTGCTGATGGTGGTGGTGATTGGTGGTGATGGTGATGATGGTGGTGGTGATGGTGGTGGTGGTGATGGTGGTGGTGGTGATGATGGTGGTGGTGGTGGTGATGGTGGTGGTGGTGATGATGATGGTGGTGATGATGATAGTAATGGTGGTGATGGTGATGGTGGTGATGGTGGTGGTGGTGATGGTGGTGATGGTGGTGGTGGTGATGGTGTGGTGGTGATGATGGTGGTGGTGATGGTGGTGGTGATGGTGGTGATGGTGGTGGTGATGGTGGTGGTGATGTTGGTGGTGATGATGGTGGTGGTGATGGTGGTGGTGGTGATGGTGGTGATGATGGTGCTGATGGTGGTGATGGTGATGGTGGTGATGATGGTGGTGATGGGTGATGGTGGTGATGGTGGTGATGATGGTGGTGGTGATGGTGGTGGTGTGGTGGTGTGATGGTAGTGATGGTGGTGGTGATGGTGGTGGTGATGGTGGTGGTGATGGTGATGATGTGATAATGGTGGTGGTGATGGTGGTGGTGGTGGTGATGGTGGTGGTGGTGATGATGGTGGTGGTGATGATGATGGTGGTGGTGGTGATGGTGGTGGTGGTGGATGATGATGGTGGTGATGATGATAGTAATGGGTGGTGATAAAGTGGTAGCGAATGGTGGTGGTGATGATGGTGGTGGTGATGGTGATGATGGTGATGGTGGTGATGATGGTGGTGATGGTGGTGATGGTGGTGGTGGTGACTGGTGGTGGTGATGATGATGGTGGTGGTGATGGTGGTGATGGTGGGTGGTGGATGGTGGTGGTGGTGGATGATGGTGGTGATGGTGGTGGTGATGATGGTGGTGGTGGTGATGGTGGTGTGATGGTGGTGGTGGTGATGGTGGTGGTGATGATGGTGATGGTGGTGGTGATGATTGGTGGATGATGATGATGGTGGTGATGTGGATGGTGGATGGTGGTGTGGTGATGGTGGTGGTGGTGAGGTGGTGTGGTGATGAGGTGATGGTGGTGGTGATGGTGATGGTGGTGATGTGGTAGTGATGGTGGTGGTGGTGATGGTGATGATGGTGGTGGTGGATGGTGGTGATGGTGATGATGGTGGTGGTGATGGTGGTGGTGATGGTGGTGGTGGTGGTGGTGATGGTGGTGGTGGATGATGGTGGTGGTGATGATGGTGGTGGTGGTGATGGTGGTGATGATGATAGTAATGGTGGTGATGGTGGGTGGTGATGATGGTGGTGGTGGTGGTGATGGTGGTGGTGGTGATGGTGGTGATGGTGGTGGTGGTGATGGTGGTGGTGGTGATGGTGGTGGTGGTGATGGTGGTGATGATGGTGATGGTGGTGGTGATGGTGGTGATGGTGGTGATGGTGGTGATGGTGGTGGTGATGGTGGTGATGGTGGTGGTGATGGTAGTGATGGTGATGATGTGATAATGGTGTGGTGATGGTGGTGGTGATGGTGGTGGTGATGATGATGATGGTGGTGGTGATGATGGTGGTGGTGGTAATGGTGGTGGTGATAAAGTGGTAGCGATGGTGGGGAGTGGTGGTGCAGTGGTTAGCACGCTGTGTGTCAGCCACCACCACCACTCAGCTACCCCCGTGTCTCCACTCCCCGTGTCTCTCCCTCCCCCCGTGTCTCCCCCCCCCCCCCGTGTCTCCCCCCCGTGTCTCCCCCTCCCCCCCCCCCCGTGTCTCCCCCCCCGTGTCTCCCACCCCCCGTGTCTCTCTCTCCCGTGTCTCTCTCCCCGTGTCTCTCTCTCCCCGTGTCTCTCCCCCCGTGTCTCCTCCCCGTGTCTCTCTCTCCCCAAGTGTCTCTCCCCCGTGTCTCCCCCCCGTGTCTCTCTCTCCCCGTGTCTCTCTCTTTCCCCGTGTCTCCTCCCCCCGTGTCTCCCCCCGTGTCTCCCCCCCCGTGTCTCTCTCTCTCCCGTGTCTCTCTCCCTGTGTCTCCCCGTGTCTCCCCGTTGTCTCTCCCTCCCCCCGTGTCTCCCCCCGTGTCTCCCCCCGTGTCTCCCCGTGTCTCTCCCTCCCCCCGTGTCTCCCCCCGTGTCTCCCCGTGTCTCTCTCTCCCCCCGTGTCTCCCGTGTCTCCCCGTGTCTCTCCCTCCCCCCGTGTCTCCCCCCGTGTCTCCCCGTGTCCTCTCCCTCCCCCCGTGTCTCTCCCACCCCCCGTGTCTCCCCGTGTCTCCCCGTGTCTCTCTCCCCGTGTCTCCCGTGTCTCTCCCTCCCCCGTGTCCTCCCCCCCGTGTCTCTCCCACCCCCCGTGTCTCCCCGTGTCTCTCTCCCCGTGTGTCTCCTCCCCCCCCCCCCGTGTCTCCCCGTGTCTCTCTCCCCGTGTCTCCGCTCCCCCCAGTGTCTCCCCCCCGTGTCTCCCCGTGTCTCTCCCTCCCCCGTGTCTCCCCCCCGTGTCTCCCCGTGTCTCTCCCTCCCCCCGTGTCTCCCCCCCGTGTCTCCCCGTGTCTCTCCCCCCCCCCCCGTGTCTCCCCGTGTCCTCTCTCCCCGTGTGTCTCCTCCCCCCCCCCCCCCCGTGTCTCCCCGTGTCTCTCTCCCCGTGTCTCCGCTCCCCCCGTGTCTCTCCCCCATGTCTCCCCCCCGTGTCTCCCCGTGTCTCTCCCACCCCCCGTGTCTCTCCCACCCCCCGTGTCTCCCCGTGTCTCCCCGTGTCTCCCCCCGTGTCCTCCCCCCGTGTCTCCCCCCGTGTCTCCCCCCGTGTCTCCCCCCGTGTCTCCCCGTGTCTCCCCGTGTCTCTCTCTCCCCCCATGTCTCCCCCCGTGTCTCCCCGTGTCTCTCCCTCCCCCCGTGTCTCTCCCACCCCCCGTGTCTCCCCGTGTCTCCCCCCGTGTCTCCCCAGTGGTGTTGAAGGAGCAGGGTCGTGATCTGCGCCGTGCTCAGCGCGAGGTGCAGAGAGACCGCAGCAGCCTCGAGAAGCAGGAGAAGCAGCTGGTGGGAGGGGAGGAGACACGGGGAGACACGGGGGAGACACGGGGGAGAGAGACACGGGGAGACACGGGGAGAGACACGGGGGGGAGAGAGACACGGGGAGAGCGATCGCAGCAGCCTCGAGAAGCAGGAGAAGCAGCTGGTGGGGAGGAGACACGGGGGGGAGACACGGGGAGAGACACGGGGAGAGACACGGGGAGACACGGGAGAGAGAGACACGGGGAGAGAGAGACACGGGGAGGAGAGATCGCAGCAGCCTCGAGAAGCAGGAGAAGCAGCTGGTGGGGAGGAGACACGGGGGGGAGACACGGGAGAGACACGGGGAGAGACACGGGGAGACACGGGGAGAGAGAGACACGGGGAGAGAGAGACACGGGGAGAGAGATCGCAGCAGCCTCGAGAAGCAGGAGAAGCAGCTGGTGGGGAGGAGACACGGGGAGAGACACGGGGAGACACGGGGAGAGACACGGGGAGAGACACGGGAGACACGGGGAGAGAGAGACACGGGGAGACACGGGGAGAGAGAGACACGGGGAGAGAGATCGCAGCAGCCTCGAGAAGCAGGAGAAGCAGCTGGTGGGGAGGAGACACGGGGAGAGACACGGGGAGACACGGGGAGAGACACGGGGAGAGACACGGGGAGACACGGGGATGAGAAGAGACACGGGGAGACACGGGGAGAGAGAGACACGGGGAGAGAGATCGCAGCAGCCTCGAGAAGCAGGAGAAGCAGCTGGTGGGGAGGAGACACGGGGAGACACGGGGGAGACACGGGGAGACACGGGGGAGACACGGGAGACACGGGGGGAGAGAGAGACACGGGAGAGAGATCGCAGCAGCCTCGAGAAGCAGGAGAAGCAGCTGGTGGGGAGGAGACACGGGGGGGAGACACGGGGGAGACACGGGGAGAGAGAGACACGGGGAGAGAGAGACACGGGGAGACACGGGGGGAGAGAGAGACACGGGGAGAGACACGGGGAGAGAGAGACACGGGGAGAGAGAGACACGGGGAGAGAGAGACACGGGGAGACACGGGGGGAGAGAGACACGGGGAGAGAGAGACACGGGGAGACACGGGGAGAGAGAGACACGGGGAGAGAGAGACACGGGGAGAGAGAGACACGGGGAGACACGGGGGGAGACACGGGGAGACACGGGGAGAGAGATCGCAAGCAGCCTCGAGAAGCAGGAGAAGCAGCTGGTGGGGAGGAGACACGGGGAGACACGGGGGAGACACGGGGAGACACGGGGAGAGACACGGGGAGACACGGGGAGAGAGATCGCAGCAGCCTCGAGAAGCAGGAGAAGCAGCTGGTGGGAGGAGACACGGGGAGACACGGGGAGACACGGGGGGAGACACGGGGAGAGACACGGGGAGAGAGAGACACGGGGAGAGACACGGGGAGAGAGAGACACGGGGAGAGAGAGACACGGGGAGACACGGGGGGAGAGAGAGACACGGGGAGAGAGATCGCAGCAGCCTCGAGAAGCAGGAGAAGCAGCTGGTGGGGAGGAGACACGGGGAGACACGGGGGAGACACGGGGAGACACGGGGAGAGAGAGACACGGGGAGACACGGGGGGAGAGAGACACGGGGAGAGAGAGACACGGGGGGAGAGATCGCAGCAGCCTCGAGAAGCAGGAGAAGCAGCTGGTGGGGAGGAGACACGGGGAGAGACACGGGGAGAGACACGGGAGAGAGAGACACGGGGAGACACGGGGAGAGAGAGACACGGGGAGACACGGGGGAGACACGGGGAGAGAGATCGCAGCAGCCTCGAGAAGCAGGAGAAGCAGCTGGTGGGGAGGAGACACGGGGAGACACGGGGGAGACACGGGGAGACACGGGGGAGACACGGGGGGAGAGAGACACGGGGAGAGAGAGACACGGGGAGAGAGATCGCAGCAGCCTCGAGAAGCAGGAGAAGCAGCTGGTGGGGAGGAGACACGGGGAGAGACACGGGGAGAGACACGGGGAGAGACACGGGGAGAGAGAGACACGGGGAGAGACACGGGGAGACACGGGGAGAGACACGGGGAGACACGGGGAGAGAGATCGCAGCAGCCTCGAGAAGCAGGAGAAGCAGCTGGTGGGGAGGAGACACGGGGAGAGAGACACGGGGAGACACGGGGAGACACGGGGAGAGAGAGACACGGGGAGACACGGGGGGGAGACACGGGGGGAGAGAGAGACACGGGGAGACACGGGGAGACACGGGGGGGGAGACACGGGGGAAGAGAGAGACACGGGGGGAGAGAGACACGGGGGAGAGAGAGAGACACGGGGAGAGAGAGACACGGGGAGACACGGGGGAGACACGGGGAGACACGGGGGGTGGGAGACACGGGGAGAGAGAGACATGGGGGGGAGAGAGACACGGGGAGACTCGGGGGGAGACACGGGGAGACACGGGGGGAGACGCTGGGGGAGAGAGAGACACGGGGGAGAGAGACACGGGGGAGAGAGAGACACGGGGAGAGAGAGAGACACGGGGAGACACGGGGGGAGAGAGACACGGGGAGAGAGACCGCAGCAGCCTCGAGAAGCAGGAGAAGCAGCTGGTGGGGAGGAGACACGGGGAGAAACACGGGGGAGAGAGAGACACGGGGGAGAGAGAGACACGGGGGAGAGAGAGAGACACGGGGAGAGAGAGACACGGGGGAGAGAGAGACACGGGGGAGAGAGAGACACGGGGGAGAGAGAGACACGGGGAGAGACGGGGGGGGGGTAGACACTGGTGGATGGTAGTAGACACGTGGTGGATGGTAGTAGACACGCTAACTCCCACCCACCCACCACCCACCCCACCCACCCACCACCACCCCAAGGAAGCGGAGATTCGCCGCATGGCGAAGAGCGGAAACTCTGAGGCTTGCCGCACGCTCGCCCGCCAGCTCGTCCGGCTGCGTCAGCAGCGCCAGAGGTCGCTGGCCGTGGGTGCACAAATCACCAGCGTGGAGACACAGGCCCAGCTGGCCGGCTCGCAGATGAAGATGGCTTCGGCCATGGCGAGTACCGCTAAGGTGAGTGGGTGGGTGAGTGGGTGGGTGGGTGAGTGAGTGGGTGGGTGGGTGGGTGAGTGGGTGGGTGGGTGGGTGGGTGAGTGGGTGGGTGGGTGGGTGAGTGGGTTAGTGAATGAGTGGGTAGGTGAATGAGTGAGTGGGTGAGTGAGTGAGTGGTAGGTGAGTGAGTGAGTGAGTAGGGACACAAATCACCAGCGTGGAGACACAGGCCCAGCTGGCTGGCTCGCAGGTGAAGATGGCTTCGGCCATGGCGAATACCGCTAAGGTGAGTGGGTGGGTGAGTGAGTGGGTGGGTGAGTGAGTGGGTGGGTGGGTGGGTGAGTGGGTGGGTGGGTGGGTGGAGTGGGTGAGTGAGTGGGTGAGTGGGTGAGTGAGTGGGTGAGTGGGTGGGTGGGTGGGTGAGTGAGTGGGTGAGTGAGTGAGTGGGTGGGTGGTAGCTGAGTGAGTGAGTGGGGACACAAATCACCAGCGTGAGGACACAGGCCCAGCTGGCCGGCTCGCAGGTGAAGATGGCTTCGGCCATGGCGAATACCGCTAAGGTGAGTGGGTGAGTGGGTGGGTGGGTGAGTGGGTGAGTGAGTGGGTGAGTGAGTGGGTGGATAGGTGAGTGAGTGGGTGAGTGAGTGAGTGAGTGAGTGGGTAGGTGAATGAGTGAGTGAGTGGGTGAGTGGTAGGTGAGTGAGTGAGTGAGTAGGGACACAAATCACCAGCGTGGAGACACAGGCCCAGCTGGCCGGCTCGCAGGTGAAGATGGCTTCGGCCATGGCGAATACCGCTAAGGTGAGTGGGTGGGTGGGTGGGTGAGTGGTGGGTGAGTGAGTGGGTGGGTGAGTGAGTGAGGTGGGTGGGTGAGTGGGTGAGTGAGTGAGTGAGTGGGTGAGTGGGTGAGTGAGTGAGTGGGTGAGTGAGTGGGTGAGTGGGTTAGTGAATGAGTGGGTGAGTGAATGAGTGGGTAAGTGAGTGGGTGGGTGAGTGGGTGAGTGGGTGAGTGAGTGGGTGGGTGAGTGGGGTGGGTTAGTGAGTGAGTGAGTGGGTGGTAGGTGAGTGAGTGAGTGGGTGGGTGAGTGAGTGAGTGGGTGAGTGAGTGAGTGGGTGAGTGAGTGGGTGGTGGGTGAGTGAGTGAGTGAGTAGGGACACAAATCACCAGCGTGAGGACACAGGCCCAGCTGGCCGGCTCGCAGGTGAAGATGGCTTCGGCCATGGCGAGTACCGCTAAGGTGAGTAGGTGAGTGAGTGGGTGGGTGGGTGAGTGAGTGAGTGAGTGGTGTGAGTGAGTGAGTGAGTGGGTGAGTGAGTAGGCGAGTGAGTGGGTAGGTGAATGAGTGGGTGAGTGAGTGGGTGGTGAGTGAGTGGGTGGGTGGTAGGTGAGTGAGTGAGTGGGTGGGTGAGTGAGTGGTAGGTGAGTGAGTGAGTGGGTGAGTGGGTGGGTGGGTGAGTGGGTAGGTGAATGAGTGGGTGAGTGAGTGAGTGAGTGGTAGGTGAGTGAGTGAGTGGTAGGTGAGTGAGTGAGTGGTAGGTGAGTGAGTGAGTGGGTGAGTGAGTGAGTGAGTGGTAGGTGAGTGAGTGAGTGAGTGGTAGGTGAGTGAGTGAGTGGTAGGTGAGTGAGTGAGTGAGTAGGGACACAAATCACCAGCGTGAGGACACAGGGCCCAGCTGGCTGGCTCGCAGGTGAAGATGGCTTCGGCCATGGCGAGTACCGCTAAGGTGAGTGAGTGAGTGGGTGGGTGGGTGAATGAGTGAGTGAGTGGGTGGGTGAGTGAGTGGGTGAGTGAGTGAGTGGGTGGGTGAGTGAGTGAGTGAGTGGTAGGTGAGTGAGTGAGTGAGTAGGGACACAAAATCACCAGCGTGAGGACACAGGCCCAGCTGGCCGGCTCGCAGGTGAAGATGGCTTCGGCCATGGCAAGTACCGCTAAGGTGAGTGGGTGGGTGAGTGGGTGAGTGGGTGGGTGGGTGGGTTAGTGAGTGAGTGGGTGGGTGGGTGAGTGAGTGGGTGGGTGAGTGAATGAGTGGGTGGGTGAGTGAATGAGTGGGTGAGTGAGTGAATGAGTGGTAGGTGAGTGAGTGAGTGGGTGAGTGAGTGAGTGGGTGAGTGAGTGAGTGAGTGGTAGGTGAGTGAGTGAGTGAGTAGGGACACAAATCACCAGCGTGGAGACACAGGCCCCAGCTGGCCGGCTCGCAGGTGAAGATGGCTTCGGCCATGGCAAGTACCGCTAAGGTGAGTGGGTAGGTGAGTGAGTGGGTGGGTGGGTGAGTGGGTGAGTGGGTTAGTGAATGAGTGGGTGAGTGAATGAGTGGGTAAGTGAGTGGGTGGGTGAGTGGGTGAGTGGGTGAGTGAGTGGGTGGGTGAGTGGGTGAGTGGGTGAGTGAGTGAGTGAGTGGTAGGTGAGTGAGTGAGTGAGTGGGTGAGTGAATGAGTGGGTGAGTGAGTGAGTGGGTAGGTGAGTGAGTGAGTGAGTGGTGTGAGTGAGTGAGTGAGTGGGTGAGTGGGTGGGTGAGTGAGTAGGTGAGTGGGTGGGTGAGTGAGTGGGTGAGTGGGTGAGTGGGTGAGTGAGTGGGTGGGTGAGTGAGTGGGTGAGTGAGTGAGTGGGTAGGTGGGTGAGTGGGTGAGTGAGTAGGGGCACAAATCACCAGCGTGGAGACACAGGCCCAGCTGGCCGGCTCGCAGATGAAGATGGCTTCGGCCATGGCGAGTACCGCTAAGGTGAGTAGGTGAGTGGGTGGGTGAGTGGGTGAGTGAGTGAGTGAGTGGGTAGGTGAGTGAGTGAGTGAGTGGTAGATGAGTCAGTGAGTGAGTAGGGACACAAATCACCAGCGTGAGGACACAGGCCCAGCTGGCCGGCTCGCAGGTGAAGATGGCTTCGGCCATGGCGAGTACCGCTAAGGTGAGTGGGTAGGTGAGTGAGTGGGTGGGTGAGTGGGTGAGTGAGTGAGTGGGTGGGTGGGTGGGTGAGTGGGTGGGTGAGTGAGTGAGTGGGTGAGTGGGTAGGTGAATGAGTGAGTGAGTGGGTGAGTGGTAGGTGAGTGAGTGAGTGAGTAGGGACACAAATCACCAGCGTGAGGACACAGGCCCAGCTGGCCGGCTCGCAGGTGAAGATGGCTTCGGCCATGGCGAGTACCGCTAAGGTGAGTGGGTGGGTGAGTGAGTGAGTGGGTGGGTGAGTGAGTGGGTGGGTAGGTGAGTGAGTGAGTGGGTGGGTAGGTGAGTGAGTGAGTGGGTGGGTGAGTGAGTGGGTGGGTGAGTGAGTGGGTGGGTGAGTGGGTGAGTGGTGGGTGGGTGGGTGAGTGAGTGGGTGGGTGGGTGAGTGAGTGGGTGAGTGAGTGGGTGGGTGAGTGGGTGAGTGGTGGGTGAGTGGGTGAGTGGTGGGTGGGTGGGTGAGTGGTGGGTGGGTGGGTGAGTGAGTGGGTGGGTGAGTGAGTGAGTGAGTGGGTGGGTGAGTGAGTGGGTGAGTAGGGACACAAATCACCAGCGTGAGGACACAGGCCCAGCTGGCTGGCTCGCAGGTGAAGATGGCTTCGGCCATGGCAAGTACCGCTAAGGTGAGTGGGTGAGTGAGTGGGTGGGTGGGTGAGTGAGTGAGTGAGTGGGTAGGTGAGTGAGTGAGTGGTAGGTGAGTGGGTGGGTGAGTAGGGACACAAATCACCAGCGTGGAGACACAGGCCCAGCTGGCCGGCTCGCAGATGAAGATGGCTTCGGCCATGGCGAGTACCGCTAAGGTGAGTAGGTGAGTGAGTGGGTGAGTGGGTGGGTGAGTGAGTGGGTGAGTGAGTGAGTGGGTGAGTGAGTGGGTGAGTGAGTGGGTGAGTGAGTGGGTGGGTAGGTGAGTGAGTGGGTGGGTGGGTGGGTGGGTGAGTGAGTGGGTGAGTGAGTGAGTGGGTGGGTGGGTGGGTGAGTGTGTGGGTGAGTGGGTGGGTGAGTGAGTGGGTGTGTGAGTGAGTGAGTGGGTGGGTGGGTGGGTGAGTGAGTGGTAGGTGAGTGAGTGAGTGAGTAGGGCACAAATCACCAGCGTGAGGACACAGGCCCAGCTGGCTGGCTCGCAGGTGAAGATGGCTTCGGCCATGGCGAGTACGCTAAGGTGAGTGGGTGGGTGAGTGGGTGGGTGGGTGGGTGAGTGAGTGAGTGGGTGAGTGAGTGGGTGGGTGAGTGGGTGGGTGAGTGAGTGAGTGAGTGGGTGGGTGAGTGAGTGGGTGAGTAGGGACACAAATCACCAGCGTGGAGACACAGGCCCAGCTGGCCGGCTCGCAGATGAAGATGGCTTCGGCCATGGCGAGTACTGCTAAGGTGAGTGGGTGGGTGAGTGGGTGTGAGTGAGTGGGTGAGTGAGTGGGTGAGTGGGTGAGTGAGTGGGTGAGTGAGTGAGTGGGTGAGTGGGTATGTGAGTGAGTGAGTGAGTGGTAGGTGAGTGAGTGGGTGGTGGTGAGTGAGTGAGTGAGTGGGAGTGTGTGAGTGAGTGAGTGGGTGGTAGTGAGTGAGTGGTGGGTGAGTGAGTGAGTAGGGACACAAATCACCAGCGTGAGGACACAGGCCCAGCTGGCTGGCTCGCAGGTGAAGATGGCTTCGGCCATGGCGAGTACCGCTAAGGTGAGTAGGTGAGTGGGTGAGTGGGTGGGTGAGTGAGTGAGTGGGTAGGTGAATGAGTGAGTGGGTGGGTGAGTGAGTGGGTGAGTGGGTGAGTGGGTGAGTGGGTAATGAGTGAGTGAGTGGGTGAGTGGAGTGAGTGGTGAGTGAGTGAGTGGGTGGGTGGGTGAGTGAGTGGGTGGGTGAGTGAGTGAGTGGGTGGGTGAGTGAGTGAGTGAGTGGTACGGTGCAGTGAGTGAGTGGGTGAATGGGTAGGTGAATGAGTGGGTGAGTGAGTGAGTGAGTGGTAGGTGAGTGAGTGAGTGGGTAGGTGAGTGAGTGAGTGGGTGAGTGAGTGAGTGGTAGGTGAGTGAGTGAGTGAGTAGGGACACAAATCACCAGCGTGGAGACACAGGCCCAGCTGGCTGGCTCGCAGGTGAAGATGGCTTCGGCCATGGCGAGTACCGCTAAGGTGAGTAGGGGGGTGGGTGGGTGAGTGGGTGGGTGAGTGGGTGGGTGGGTGGGTGAGTGGGTGAGTAGGTGAGTGAGTGAGTGAGTGGTAGGTGAGTGAGTGAGTGGTAGGTGAGTGAGTGAGTGGGTGAGTGAGTGAGTGAGTGGGTGAGTGAGTGAGTGGGTGGTAGGGAGTGAGTGATGTGAGTGGTAGGTGAGTGAGTGAGTGGTAGGTGAGTGAGTGAGTGGGTGAGTGAGTGCGTGCGTGGGTGAGTGAGTGAGTGGGTGGTAGGTGAGTGAGTGAGTGGTAGGTGAGTGAGTGGGTGGTAGGTGAGTGAGTGAGTGAGTGGTAGGTGAGTGAGTGAGTGGTACGGTGAGTGAGTGGGTGGTAGGTGGGTGAGTGAGTGAGTGGTAGGTGAGTGAGTGGGTGAGTAGGGACACAAATCACCAGCGTGGAGACACAGGCCCAGCTGGCTGGCTCGCAGGTGAAGATGGCTTCGGCCCATGGCGAATACCGCTAAGGTGAGTGGGTAGGTGGGTGAGTGGGTGGGTGAGTGGGTGAATGAGTGAGTGGGTGAGTGGGTGAGTGAGTGAGTGAGTAGGTGGGTGGGTGAGTGAGTGGGTGAGTGGGTGAGTGAGTGGGTGAGTGAGTGGGTGGGTAGGTGAATGAGTGGGTGAGTGGGTGAGTGAATGAGTGGGTGAGTGAGTGGGTGAGTGGTAGGTGAGTGAGTGAGTGGGTAGGTGAGTGAGTGAGTGAGTGGTAGGTGAATGAGTGAGTGAGTAGGGACACAAATCACCAGCGTGGAGACACAGGCCCAGCTGGCCGGCTCGCAGATGAAGATGGCTTCGGCCATGGCGAGTACCGCTAAGGTGAGTAGGTGGGTGAGTGGGTGGGTGGGTGAGTGAGTGAGTGGGTGGGTGAGTGAGTGGGTGAGTGAGTGAGTGGGTGGTAGGTGAGTGGTAGGTGAGTGAGTGGGTGGGTGAGTGAGTGAGTGAGTGGTAGGTGAGTGAGTGAGTGAGTGGTAGGTGAGTGAGTGGGTGAGTGAGTGAGTGAGTGGTAGGTGAGTGAGTGAGTGGGTGAGTGAATGGTAGGTGAGTGAGTGGGTGTGTGGGTGGGTGAGTGAGTGAGTGAGTAGGCGAGTGAGTGAGTGGTAGGTGAGTGAGTGAGTCAGTGAGTGGGTGAGTGAGTCAGTGAGTCAGTGAGTGGTAGGTGAGTGAGTGAGTGAGTGGGTAGGTGAGTCAGTGAGTGGGTAGGTGAGTCAGTGAGTGGGTAGGTAGGTGAGTGAGTGGTAGGTTACTGAGCGAGTGGTAGGTGAGTCAGTGAGTGGGTAGGTGAGTGAGTGGTAGGTGAGTGAGTGGGTAGGTGGGTGGGTAGGTGAATGAGTGGTAGGTGAGTGAGTGAGTGGATAAGTGAGTGGGTAGGTTGGTGAGTGGGTGAGTGAGTGGGTTGGTGGGTAGGTGGGTGAGTGTGTGGGTGGTAGTGGTTGATGTTGTGGTGGTGGTTGTGGTTAATGTTGTGGTGGTTGTGGTTAATGTTGTGTGATTGATTTGTGGTGGTGGTTGTGGTTAATGTTGTGGTGGTGGTTGTGGTCAATGTTGTGGTTAATGTTGTGGTGGTTGTGGTTAATGTTGTGATTGTGGTTGATGTTGTGGTGGTGGTGTGGTTAATGTTGTTTTTAATGTGGTGGTGGTTGTGGTGGTTGTGGTTAATGTTGTGGTTAATGTTGTGGTGGTGGTTGTGGTTAATGTTGTGGTTAATGTTGTGGTGGTGGTGGTTGTGGTGGTTGTGGTTAATGTTGCGGTTAATGTTGTGGTGGTTGTGGTGGTGGTTGTGGTTAATGTTGTGGTTAATGTGGTGGTGGTGGTTGTGGTGGTTGTGGTGGTGGTGGCGGTGCAGACGATGGGATCCGTGAGCAAGGAGATGGACCCCATGAAGACAATGAAGATGATGGAGGCCTTCAACAAGCAAAATGCTAAGATGGAGATGAGTGAGGAGATGAGTGAGTCTCCTCACATACCACTCACCTACCACTCGCCTACCACTCACCTACCACTCACTCACTCACCTACCACTCACTCACCACTCACCTGCCACTCACTCACCTACCACTCACTCACTCACCTACCACTCACCTACCACTCACCTACCACGCACCTACCACTCACTCACCTACCACTCACCACTCACCTACCACTCACTCACCTATCACTCACCTACCACTCACCTACACTCACCTACCACTCACTCACCTACCACTCACCACTCACCTACCACTCACTCACTCACCTACCACTCACCTACCACACACCTACCACTCACTCACTCACCTACCACTCACTCACCACTCACCTGCCACTCACTCACCTACCACTCACTCACTCACCTACCACTCACCTACCTCACCTACCACTCACTCACACACCACTCACCACTCACCTACCACTCACTCACTCACCTACCACTCACCTACCACACACCTACCACTCAGTCACCTACCACTCAGTCACCTCCCACTCACTCACTCACCACTCACCTACCACTCACTCACTCACCTACCACTCACTCACTCACCTACCACTCACTCACCTACCACTCACCACTCACCACTCACCTACCACTCACTCACTCACCTACCACTCACTCACTCACCTACCACTCACTCACTCACTCACCTACCACTCACTCACTCACCTACCACTCACCACTCACCTACCACTCACTCACTCACCTACCACTCACTCACCTACCACTCACTCACTCACTCACCTACCACTCACTCACCTACCACTCACTCACCTACCACTCACTCACCTACCACTCACCTACCACTCACCACTCACTCACTCACCTACCACTCACTCACCTACCACTCACTCACTCACCTACCACTCACTCACTCACCTACCACTCACTCACTCACTCACCTACCACTCACTCACCTACCACTCACTCACCTACCACTCACCTACCACTCACCTACCACTCACTCACCTACCACTCACCTACCACTCACTCACCTACCACTCACCACTCACCTACCACTCACTCACTCACCTACCACTCACCTACCACACACCTACCACTCAGTCACCTACCACTCAGTCACCTCCCACTCACTCACTCACTCACCACTCACCTACCCCTCACTCACTCACCTACCACTCACTCACTCACCTACCACTCACTCACCTACCACTCACCACTCACCACTCACCTACCACTCACTCACTCACCTACCACTCACTCACTCACCTACCACTCACTCACTCACTCACCTACCACTCACTCACTCACTACCACTCACCACTCACCTACCACTCACTCACTCACCTACCACTCACTCACTCACCTACCACTCACTCACTCACCACTCACTCACCTACCACTCACTCACCTACCACTCACTCACCTACCACTCACTCACCTACCACTCACCTACCACTCACTCACTCACCTACCACTCACTCACTCACTCACCTACCACTCACTCACCTACCACTCACTCACTCACCTACCACTCACTCACTCACCTACCACTCTCACTCACTCACTCACCTACCACTCACTCACCTACCACTCACCTACCACTCACCTACCACTCACCTACCACTCACTCACCTACCACTCACCTACCACTCACTCACTCACCTACCACTCACTCACCTACCACTCACCTACCACTCACTCACTCACCTACCATTCACCTACCACTCACTCACTCACCTACCACTCACCACTTACCTACCACTCACCTACCACTCACCACTCACCTACCACTCACCTACCACTCACTCACCTACCACTCACTCACTCACCTACCACTCACTCACCTACCACTCACCACTCACCTACCACTCACCTACCACTCACCACTCACCTACCACTCACCTACAACTCACCTACCACTCACCTACCACTCACCTAACACACACCTACCACTCACTCACCTACCACTCACTCACCTACCACTCACTCACTCACCTACCACTCACCTACCACTCACCTACCACTCACTCACCTACCACTCACCTACCACTCACTCACTCACTCACCTACCACTCACCTACCACTCACCTACCACCCACTCACCACTCACCTACCACTCACCTAGCTAACTAGCTGGCTAGTTCACTAACTAGCTAACTAACTAGTTCACTAACTAGCTAGTGAACTAGTTAGCTAGCGAACTAACTAGTTCACTAACTAGTTCACTAACTAGCTATCTAACTAGTGAACTAGCTAGCTAGCTAACTAGCTAGCTAACTAACATGTTGACCTGTCAGTCAGTGACACGCTGGACTCGATGTTTGAGGAGTCTGGGGATGAGGAGGAGGGAGATTCTAACTAGTTCACTAACTAGCTAACTAGCTAGCTAGTTCACTAACTAACTAGCTCACTAACTAGCTAGTTCACTAGCTAGTTCACTAACTAGTTAACTAGCTAGCTAGTACACTAGCTAGCTCACTAACTAGCTAGCTAGTTCACTCGCTAACTAGCTATTTAACTAGTTAACTAGCTAGCTAACTAACCTGTTGACCTGTCAGTCAGTGACACGCTGGACTCGATGTTTGAGGAATCTGGGGATGAGGAGGGAGATTCTAACTAGTTAACTAACTAGCTAACTAGCTAGCTAGTTCACTAACTAACTAGCTCACTAACTAGCTAGTTCACTAACTAGCTAGCTAGTTCACTAACTAGTTAACTAGCTAGCTAGTACACCAGCTAGCTCACTAACTAGTTCACTAGTTAACTAACTAGCTACATAACTAGTTAACTGGCTAGCTAACTAACCTGTTGACCTGTCAGTCAGTGACATGCTGGACTCGATGTTTGAGGAGTCTGGGGATGAGGAGGAGGGAGATTCTAACTAGCTAGTTAGTTCACTAACTAGCTAGCTAGTTCACTAACTTGTTAACTAGCTAGCTAACTAGCTAGTTCACTAACTAGCTAGCCAGTTCACTAACTAGCTAGTTCACTAACTAGCTAACTAGCTAGCTAGTTCACTAACTAGCTAGCTAGTTCACTAGCTAGCTAATTCACTAACTAGCTAACTACTAGCTAGCTAACTAACCTGTTGACCTGTCAGTCAGTGACACGCTGGACTCGATGTTTGAGGAGTCTGGGGATGAGGAGGAGGGAGATTCTATCTAGTTCACTAACTATCTAACTAGCTAGTTAGTTAGCTAGTTAGTTAACTAGCTAGCTAACTAGCTAGTTCACTAACTAGCTAGCCAGTTCACTAACTAGCTAGCTTCACTAACTAGCTAACTAGCTAGCTAGTTCACTAACTAGCTAGCTAGTTCACTAGCTAGCTAATTCACTAACTAGCTAACTAACTAGCTAGCTAACCTAACCTGTTGACCTGTCAGTCAGTGACACGCTGGACTCGATGTTTGAGGAGGCTCTGGGATGAGGAGGAGGGAGATTCTATCTAGTTCACTAACTATCTAACTAGCTAGTTAGTTAGCTAGTTAGTTAACTAGCTAACTAACATGTTGACCTGTCAGTCAGTGACACGCTGGACTCGATGTTTGAGGAGTCTGGGGATGAGGAGTAGGGAGATTCTATCTAGTTCACTAACTAGCTAACTAGCTAGTTAGTTAGCTAGTTAGTGAACTAGCTAGCTAACTAGCTAGCTAACTAACATGTTGACCTGTCAGTCAGTGAAACGCTGGACTCGATGTTTGAGGAGTCTGGGGATGAGGAGGAGGGAGATTCCATCGTCGCTCAAGTCCTGGACGAGATCGGCATTGAGACCAGCGGCAAGGTATGTGTGTGTGTCACTGTGTGTGTGTGTCACTGTGTGTGTCACTGTGTGTGTGTCACTGTGTGTGTCACTGTGTGTGTCACTGTGTGTGTGTCACTGTGTGTGTGTCACTGTGTGTGTCAGTGTGTGTGTCACTGTGTGTGTGTGTCACTGTGTGTGTGTGTCACTGTGTGTCACTGTGTGTGTCACTGTGTGTGTCACTGTGTGTGTGTCACTGTGTGTGTCACTGTGTGTGTGTCACTGTGTGTGTGTCACTGTGTGTGTCACTGTGTGTGTCACTGTGTGTCACTGTGTGTGTCACTGTGTGTGTCACTGTGTGTCACGGGGTGTGTCACTGTGTGTGTCACTGTGTGTCACGGGGTGTGTCACTGTGTGTGTCACTGTGTGTCACTGTGTGTCACTGTGTGTGTCACTGTGTGTGTGTGTCACTGTGTGTGTCACTGTGTGTGTCACTGTGTGTGTGTCACTGTGTGTGTCACGGGGTGTGTCACTGGGTGTGTCACTGTGTGTGTCACTGTGTGTGTGTCACTGTGTGTGTCACTGTGTGAGTGTGTCACTGTGTGTGTGTCACGGGGTATGTCACTGTGTGTGTGTGTCACGGGGTATGTCACTGTGTGTGTGTGTCACTGTGTGTCACTGTGTGTGTGTGTCACTGTGTGTGTGTGTCACTGTGTGTGTGTGTCACTGTGTGTGTGTCACGGGGTATGTCACTGTGTGTGTGTCACTGTGTGTGTGTCACTGTGTGTGTCACTGTGTGGTCACTGTGTGTGTTACTGTCACTGTGTGTGTGTCACTGTGTGTGTCACTGTGTGTGTCACTGTGTGTGTGTCACGGGGTATGTCACTGTGTGTGTCACTGTGTGTGTGTGTCACGGGGTGTGTCACTGTGTGTGTCACTGTGTGTCACTGTGTGTGTCACTGTGTGTGTCACTGTGTGTGTCACTGTGTGTGTCACTGTGTGTGTGTGTCACTGTGTCACAGTGTGTCACTGCGTGTGTCACTGTGTGTGTCACTGTGTGTCACTGTGTGTGTGTGTCACTGTCACGGTGTGTCACTGTGTGTGTCACTGTGTGTCACTGTGTGTGTGTCACTGTGTGTCACTGTGTGTGTGTCACTGTGTGTGTCACGTGACCATGTCACCCCTCCCCCCCCCCAGATGTCACTGTGTGTGTCACGTGACCATGTCACCCCTCCCCCCCCCCAGATGTCACTGTGTGTGTCACGTGACCATGTCACCCCTCCCCCCCCAGATGTCACTGTGTGTCACGTGACCATGTCACCCCTCCCCCCCCAGATGTCACTGTGTGTGTGTCACGTGACCATGTCACCCCTCCCCCCCCAGATGTCACTGTGTGTGTGTCACGTGACCATGTCACCCCTCCCCCCCCAGATGTCACTGTGTGTGTGTCACGTGACCATGTCACCCCTCCCCCCCAGATGTCACTGTGTGTGTGTCACGTGACCATGTCACCCCTCCCCCCCCCCAGATGTCACTGTGTGTGTGTCACGTGACCATGTCACCCCCCCCCCCCCAGATGTCACTGTGTGTGTGTCACGTGACCATGTCACCCCTCCCCCCCCAGATGTCACTGTGTGTGTGTCACGTGACCATGTCACCCCTCCCCCCCCCAGATGTCACTGTGTGTGTGTCACGTGACCATGTCACCCCTCCCCCCCCCAGATGTCACTGTGTGTGTGTCACGTGACCATGTCACCCCTCCCCCCCCAGATGTCACTGTGTGTGTGTCACGTGACCATGTCACCCCTCCCCCCCCAGATGTCACTGTGTGTGTGTCACGTGACCATGTCACCCCTCCCCCCCAGATGTCACTGTGTGTGTGTCACGTGACCATGTCACCCCTCCCCCCCCAGATGTCACTGTGTGTGTGTGTCACGTGACCATGTCACCCCTCCCCCCCCAGATGTCACGTGCTCCCACGGCCTCCCACGACCTCCCCCTCCCCCCCTCCTCCGCGTCATCGTCCCGGGTCAGCGATGACGACATCGAGCGCCAACTACGCGCACTCGGAGTGGACTGAGGTCGTGACCCCTGGGGTGGAGAGGTCGTGACCCCCAGGGGGTAGGCTGAGGTCGTGACCCCCAGGGGGTAGGCTGAGGTCGTGACCCCCAGGGGGTAGGCTGAGGTCGTGACCCCCAGGGGGTAGGCTGAGGTCTCGACCCTGGGGTGTGTCTGTGTGTGTGTCTGTGTGAGTCTGTGTCTGAGTCTCTGTGTCTGTGAGTGTGTGTCTGTGTGAGTCTGTGTGTGTGGCTGTGTGAGTCTGTGTGTCTGTCTGAGTCTCTGTGTCTGTGAGTGTGTGTCTGTGTGAGTCTGTGTGTCTGTGTGAGTCTCTGTCTGTGTGAGTTTCTGTGTCTGTTTGAGTCTAAGTCTGTGTGAGTCTCTGTGTGAGTCTGTGTGAGTCTGTGTCTGTCTGTGAGTCTCTGTGTGAGTCTCTGTGTGAGTCTCTGTGTCTGTGTCTGTCTGTGTGTGTCTGTGTGTGTCTGTGTCTGTATGTGTGTGTCTGTGTGAGTCTCTGTGTCTGTGTGAGTCTCTGTGTCTGTGTGAGTCTGTGTCTGTATGAGTCTCTGTGTCTGTGTGAGTCTGTGTCTGTGTGTGAGTCTCTGTGTCTGTGAGTGTGTGTCTGTGTGAGTCTCTGTGTCTGTGTGAGTCTGTGTGTCTGTGAGTATCTGTGTGAGTCTCTGTGTGAGTCTGTGTCTGTGTGTGAGTCTCTGTGTCTGTGAGTGTGTCTCTGTGTGAGTCTCTGTGTCTGTGTGAGTCTGTGTGTGTCTGTGTGTGAGTCTCTGTGTGAGGCTGTGTCTGTGTGAGTCTCTGTGTCTGTGTGAGTCTGTGTGTCTGTGTGAGTCTGTGTCTGTGTGTCTCTGTGTGAGTCTCTGTGTCTGTGTGAGTCTCTGTGTCTGTGTGAGTCTGTGTGAGTCTGTGTCTGTCTATGTGTGTCTGTGTGAGTCTCTGTGTGAGTCTGTGTGAGTCTGTGTGTCTGTGTGAGTCTGTGTCTGTCTGTGTGTGTGTGTGTGTCTCTGTGTGAGTCTCTGTGTCTGTGTGAGTCTGTCTGTGTGTGTCTGTGTGTGAGTCTCTGTGTGAGTCTGTGTGAGTCTGTGAGTCTGTGTCTGTGTGTGTCTGTGTGAGTCTCTGTGCGAGTCTGTGCGAGTCTCTGTGTCTGTGTGAGTCTCTGTGTGTGTGTGAGTCTCTGTGTGTGTGTGAGTCTGTGTGTGTGAGGGTCTGTGTGAGTCTCTGTGTCTGTGTGTGTCTGTCTCTGTGTGAGTCTCTGTCTGTGTGAGTCTCTGTCTGTGTGAGTCTCTGTGTCTGTGTGAGTCTCTGTGTCTGTGTGAGTCTGTCTTTGTCTCTGTGTGAGTCTGTGTGAGTCTCCGTCTGTGTGAGTCTCTGTGTCTGTGCGAGTGTCTGTGTGAGTATCTGTGTGAGTCTGTGTCTGTGTGAGTCTCTGTGTCTGTGTGAGTCTTTGTGGCTGTGTCTGTGTGAGTCTTTGTGGCTGTTGAGTCTCTGTGTGAGTCTCTGTTGTGTCTGTGTGAGTGTTGTGTGTGTGAGTGTCTGTGTAAGTGTCTGTGTGAGTCTCTATGCGAGTCTCTGTCTCTCTATGCCTGGTCTCTGTATATCTCACAAGCTACGGTTGTTGTTGTGGTGGTGGTTGTGGTAATTAAATAATTATATATTTATGGTCCCGGCCCTCAATCACTGCTCCAAACAAACTTTATTCAGACGACAAGATGTGGATGGGTGAGTGGATTGGTGAGTGGATTGGTGAGTGGGTGAGTGGATGGGTGGATAGGTGGATGGGTGAGTGAGTGGGTGAGTGAGTGGATGGGTGGGTGAGTGAGTGGGAGAGTGAGTAAGTGGATGGATGGGTGGGTGAATGGATGGATGGGTGAGTGATGGATGGATGGGTGAGTGGGTGGATGGATGGGTGAGTGGATGGGTGGGTGGGTGAGTGGATGGGTGGGTGGGTGGGTGAGTGGATGGGTGGGTGGGTGAGTGGATGGGTGAGTGGGTGAGTGGATGGGTGAGTGGGTGAGTGGATGGGTGGGTGAGTGGATGGGTGGGTGGGTGAGTGGATGGGTGGGGGTGAGTGGATGGGTGAGTGGATGGTGGGTGGGTGAGTGGATGGGTGGTGGGTGAGTGGATGGGTGGTGGGTGGATGGGTGAGTCGATGGGTGGGTGAGTGGATGGGTGGGTGAGTGGATGGGTGGGTGGGTGAGTGGATGGGTGGGTGGGTGAGAGGATGGGTGGGTGGTGAGAGGATGGGTGGGTGGGTGGGTGAGAGGATGGGTGGGTGAGTGGATGGGTGGGTGAGTGGATGGGTGGGTGGGTGAGTGGGTGAGTGGATGGGTGGGTGGGTGAGTGGATGGGTGGGTGAGTGGATGGGTGGGTGAGTGGATGGGTGGGTGAGTGGATGGATGGGTGAGTGAGTGGATGGATGGGTGAGTGGGTGGATGGATGAGTGGATGGGTGAGTGGATGGGTGGGTGGGTGAGTGGATGGGTGGGTGGGTGAGTGGATGGGTGGGTGGGTGAGGGGATGGGTGGGTGGGTGAGTGGATGGGAGGGTGGGTGAGTGGATGGGTGGGTGGGTGAGTGGATGGGTGAGTGGATGGGTGGGTGAGTGGGTGAGTGGTTGGGTGGGTGAGTGGATGGGTGGGTGAGTGGATGGGTGGGTGAGTGGATGGGTGGTGAGTGACTGAGTGGGTGAGTGAGTGAGTGGGTGAATGGATGGGTGGGTGGGTGGGTGAGTGGTGGGTGGGTGAGTAAATGGATGGGTGGGTAAGTGGATGGGTGGGTGGGTGAGTGAATGGGTGAGTGGATGGGTGGGTGAGTGAATGGATGGGTGGGTGAGTGGATGGATGGGTGGGTGAGTGGATGGGTGGGTGGTGAGTGGATGGGAGTGGATGGGTGGGTGGGTGAGTGGATGAGTGGGTGAGTGATGGGTGGGTGAGTGAGTGGGTGGGTGAGTGGATGGGTGAGTGGATGGGTGGGTGAGTGGGTGGGTGGGTGGGTGAGTGGGTGGGTGGGTGAGTAAATGGGTGGGTGAGTGAATGGATGGGTGGGTAAGTGGATGGGTGGGTAAGTGGATGGGTGGGTGGGTGAGTGAGTGGGTGAGTGGATGGGTGGGTGAGTGAATGGATGGGTGGGTGAGTGAATGGGTGGGTGAGTGAATAGGTGGGTGAGTGGATGGATGGGTGAGTGGATGGGTGAATGGATGGTGAGTGTATGGGTGGGTGAGTGAATGGGTGAGTGGATGGGTGGGTGAGTGAATGGGGTGGATGGGTGGGTGGGTGAGTGAATGGGTGGGTGGGTGAGTGAATGGGTGGGTGGGTGAATGGGTGGGTGGGTGAGTGAATGGGTGAGTGAATGGTGGGTGAGTGAATGGGTGGGTGGGTGAGTGAATGGTGGGTGGGTGAGTGAATGGGTGGGTGGGTGAGTGAATGGGTGGGTGGTGAATGGGTGGGTAGGTCAGTGAGTGGGTGGGTGAGTGAATGGGTGAGTGGGTGAGTGAATGGGTGGGTGAGTGAATGGGTGAGTGGGTGTATGAATGGGTGAATGGGTGGGTGGGTGGGTGAATGGGTGAGTGGGTGAGTGAATGGGTGGGTGGGTGGTTGAATGGGTGGGTGGGTGGATGGACGGACGGGCGGCCGGCAACAATCAGCACCAGCCGCTACGAGTGGGGCGTGGTGCTGTACCACGACCTCAGCATATCGGGGAGTTTAGGGGTCGCAGCGACCTCTGGCGCCGCAGAGGTCAAGAGGCCGCAGAAGTCTGGGAGTTCAGGGGTCTCGGGGTGGATTTGACCTGCGACCTCCACCGCTGCAGGGGCTAGGAGGTCAGGGGTCGCGAGTTCCGGAGAGGTCAAAGGTGACGCCCCGTCAATTCCTGAGGGGGGGGGGGCGGGGGTTGTGGGGTGAGCGGGGTTAAAGGTCAGTAGCAGCTGTGGTGACATCACCATACCCACACGGTCACACACACAGACAAAGGTCCCCCGTGTAGCCTCAACAGACTGTAGGGGCAAGTGCTGTTAGCGAGCAGCACCTGTGAAGGCCGGTTTGCTGGGTTCGTAGCGCACAAAGACACATTCACAGACAGACACATTCACAGACAGACACACACAGACACACACACACAGACACACACACAGACACACACACAAAGACACACACACACAAAGACACATTCACACACAGACACACACACACAAAGACACATTCACACACAGACACACACGCAAAGACACATTCATACACACACAGACACATTCACACAGAAACACACACACACACAGACACACTCACACACAGACACACAGACACATTCACACACAGACACACACACACAAAGACACATTCACCACAAAGACACATTCACACACAAAGACACACACACACAAAGACACACACACACACAGACACACAGACACATTCACACACGACACACACACACAAAGACACATTCACACACGAAGACACATTCACACACAAAGACACATTCACACACAGACACACACACAAAGACACACATTCACACACAGACACACACGCAAAGACACATTCACACGTAAAGACACACACACAGACACACTCACACACAGACACACACACAAAGACACATTCACACACAGACACACACACAAAAAGACACATTCATACACACAGACACATTCACACACAGACACATTCACACACAGACACACACGGAGACACATTCACACACAGACACACACAAAGACACATTCACACACAGACACACACAAAGACACATTCACACACAAAGACACATTCACACACAGACACATTCACACACACAGACACACATTCACACACAAAGACACATTCACACACACAAAGACACACACACAATCACACACACAAAGACACACACAGACACACATTGACACACACACAGACACACATTCACACACACACATTCACACACACACAGACATTCACACACACACATTCACACACACAGACATTCACACACACACACATTCACACACACAGACACACACAGACACACTTCACACACACAAGACACACACACACATTCACACACACACACATTCACACACACACATTCACACACACAGACACACATTCACACACACAAAGACACACACATTCACACACATTCACACACACAGACACACACAGACACACATTCCACACACAAAGACACACACACATTCACACACACACATTCACACACACACATTACCATCACACACACAGACACACACAGACACACACTCACACACACAAAGACAC